AGCACAGTCACCACGACCAGTAGGCATTTCAACTGACAAATCTGCATGTCAACGAAACCAGGCGCTGATAATGCAATTATTTACCTCCCCTCGCCATCCATTTAACTTGCGATAGCCCTCGTCACGTAATTTAAATGGCTGATCTAACAGTCTCTTTGTACAGCGTACCCCCATATATCCATCAAAAATTCGTTTCTTCCAAACGTTAAACTTTATTTTGAATTTGCAGCACTTCAGGCCGTATGGCGTGCATTAAAATGTCGAAGGAAGGCTTTCGAGAAAGCGATGTCGCGGTGGTGGCGATGCAGTGCTTAAAATTGACCGCGCAATGCGACTGTGGTAAGGACGGTTTGAAATGGAGAGAAAGATGGTAATGTGTGGGAATTGCAGAGGAAATGGGCGATGGGATTTTCAGTGGAAACATCATCCAAGCTTTGAAACCAGGGACTGAAGCTGGCTTTCTATCAATTCTGTAAGAGCGGATAATAGCCTTTCCTTAAAAGGTAGAGCTGGTACGGGTAGAAAGTAAAGGTAGACAAATGCTCCTTCAAAGACTGGTGCTGACAATTTTACACTGATTTTGGTTGCATTGCCTTTCGTTATTTGAAAAGATCCGTCTACCTTTGCTTTTCCGATTCGCACCTTCTTTGCAACCTGAAATCCAAAATATAGGATGAGATGGGGAAAAGTCATGTAGTCGTAAAAATGCTTCCCTGGACACCCTAGCCAAAAACCAGCCTGAAATCAAAGATGAGTGCGATGAAATAAACATCCGATGAACTTTCCCATCATAGTCTAAAAATTAAGGTTTTCGTGGAGCAGCAAAGCACAACAAAGCAAATGAGAAAAATTAAAGACGCACTTGAATTGGAGGGGCAATTGTCAAATTCGTAACGTTGAGACAAATTGAAATGATGTAAGTTTCTTCTCCATCATGTTGAGTCTGTTCAAAGCCGAGGGAACAGGAAGGAACGAGTGTTCCAATAGCCTCAACATAAAAGCTTTTGCCATGTTTCTTCACATATTCCAACAGATCATCTACTACGCAACCGAGGAAGGAATCTAAGAGGGAGTCTAGAAAATAGCTATCATCAGGACGGTATGTTGAACTCACCGTGACCCACAGTGGACACCGCTAGCACGGTCACCACGACCAGTAGGCATTTCAACTGACAAATCTGCATGTCAACGAAACCAGGTGGATCTGATCTGCTCTGCTCCCGATGTGGCTGTGGCTGAGTGGTGGATGGTTTTTATGCAGCACCACATGAGCAACTCCCAATCGTAGTGCCTCACCGAAATTGCATCGTGACTATGCCAACAGCATGAAATTGGGGTCACAGTAGGTCGCGGCAGCAGTGACAGTGGCGGCAGCGGTAGATGGGATAGCAAAACCATGACCAACTCAAACGACACCAACCTTGGAGCACCTCACTGCCACCACCACATTTGGCAAGAGGATTACGACTGTTTGCTATGGGAGGTATCGCGCGCTTCGCTGCCTCCCCTCCACCACACCGTCTGCGCAAATGTAAGAGGTACCAATGGGCAAATCGATGGCCTGAGAGGAAGGACGGGACACCATGGCACACACTCAGATGCGACGACAAGACAGTGAAGCAGCCGTCCTATAAGTGCACTCATTTCGCCCACCACAGTTGTTGATTTTCACGACCTAGCTTCTTCGCATCAGTGGGAGTCTACGTGGCGCTCAGTGATACTCTCGTGGTCCCATTCTCCTCCACTGATTATGCTTCGAGTAGAGCCGCAT